GGGTGGCTCAAAGCTGCACACAGTACCACCATCCCATCGTGGTCCAGAGTGATCCAGTCGAGGTTCAGGCTCCTTAGTGTTTTGCAGATGGTGAGAGCTGAGGCGAGGTCTTCACAACAGGCAGTGGTGAGCTGACACATTTGCAGCCTGCAAAAGAGAAACACAGCAGAGAAATGACCTTGGCTTTGGGAAGGCTGGAAAGTAGTCAATGATTACATGCCAGTTCCATGCCTCTTGAGTAGGAGACTTTACAGTCTAGACCAGTGGTTCTCAACCAGGGCTATTGTGTCCCCTGGAGGACATGTGGCACTGTGTGGTGACATTTATCCCAACTGAGAAGTGCTACTGGCACCTGGTGGATAGTGGCCAGGGATGCTGCTGAACGTCCTACAATGCACAGTATAGCACCCTACAGCAAAGAACTATCCAGTCCCAAACGTCAAAAGTACCAAAACTGAGCAAACCCTGGTTTCATAGGACAGCAATTTACTTATCAGATTGTCCCAGACTTGTTTTTAAACCTGCTTCCTTTAATTTTATTACTCTTCAAGCTTATTCTACTCTGGGAATAGGGGACCTTTCTCACAATGATAATCTGTAGATACACACCCAAGACTGTGTAATTTACAGTTGGGGTGCTTCAATGCTTCACATAACTGTTTTACACCAACATCTTGTATTTCATTGTTCCCAAGTTTCAGGGTCTTTAGTTTTTCATTGCAAATAAGAACAGCAGAAATGTCCTTACAGCAAATGGGAGTAAGGTAACAACCCACCAACCTGGAGAAGAAAAAAAAAAATACATGCATAAACATACAGATACACAAAATACATACACTAATGAGATCCAATCTTAATGACTTAGTTTTTTTTTTTTCCTTTTTGTCTTTTTTACTGACCGGCAACGGGATCGCAACCCTCGGTGTTGCGCCTGCACCGCGCTCAGCCAGTGAGCGGGAACCGGTCTCCACATGGGATCTGAACCCTCGGCGGGAGCACCAGCGGCACATTCTCCAGTGCGCCACTGGGCCGGCCCCAGCTTATTTTCATTTACTCATATGAAGCCAGAAATACCCAATTACTTCTGAGATGAGGATGCTGCTGCTGCATTGACTTCTCAGTTCCTCCACATTCCCCTCTCTGCTCCAATGCCCTGGGCTTTCTGAAATTCTTTTGCCCTGCCTGGCTAGCTTCCTTCTGGGGTCTCTGCTTTTGTTGCTCTCATGGTTGAAGTGCTCATGCCCAAAATATCAGTGGGGCTACCCCCCCACTTCCTTCAAATTTCTGCTCAACTATCCCTTCTCAGTGAGGTCTACCCGATTTTATGTAATATTTTGTCCCCAAACTCTTTCCATCTCCCAAGCTTATGATTTTCCACAGTATTTATTACATACAAATATACAGATAGAGAGATGTTAGGTAGAAAAAAGAATAGGTAGAGGATGGATAGACAGATACATAATAGACAAATTATACATATAGGTAGATGATAGACACAGAGAGATGATATATGGATGATAGATGACAGATGTGTATATACATGCAGATATATACAGATATGTACCCATATATGTATGATATATGTGTGTGTATGTCAGTGCCTCCCAAGCAGACATGATTTTTGTCTTCTAGGGGACATTGGGCAGCATCTGGAGACATTTTTGATTTGCCACACTGGAAGAGAAGCTGCTACTGGCACCCCCATGTTTATTGCAGCTCTATTTACACTAGCCAAGAGTTGAAATCAACCTGAATGTCCACTGTCAGATGACTGGATAAGGAAAACGTGGTATAGTTACACAATGGAATACTACTCCCCCATAAAAAAGAATGGAATACTGCCATTTGCAGCAACATGGGATAAACTTAGAGAAAATCATGTTACGTGACATAAGTCAGGCACAGAAAGAAATACCGCATGTCCTCACTCATCAGTGGGAGCTGAAAAATAAATAAAAAAAGGAAAGATACAACAATCACAGTAACATGTTTAACTTTCAAAAGGAGAGAACAGAACTGAGGTTGCCAGAGGCGAGAAGGGGTGGGGGCCAAGGAGGATTGGTAAAGGACCATGGAAAATGATTACATTGTATAATGTTGGATATACTAATTATCCTGATTTAAGCATCACATTTTGCACACAGATAATGATATTCAACTCTGCAGCCCACAGATATGTACAATCAACTATTACAATTTTTAAAAGTCCAAAAAAAAAATAGTGGATAGAAATCAGGGATTCTGCTAAACAGTGTACAAAGCACAGGACAGTCCCCCACAACAAATAATGGTCTGTGCCAAAATTCAATGGTTTCACAATTTGGAAACCATGATACACACACACACACACACACATACTTGAAGCCTCATAAGCACATGTGTCCATGTGTGTGTGTGAAACACTCCGTAAAATAGGAGTCCATGGGAATGGTGATGTTGGAATGTTTTATTTACTAATTTAACTTACACACCCAGTTTCTCCAGTTTCCAGTAGAATAAATTAATGATTCTCATGCTATGTCTCTTACTATTATTTATTGAGTGCATATTATGAGCTAGTCATTACTAACAGTTCATGTGCATGACTCCAGTTGGCCATATGAATTCTTTAGGGTAGGGCCTATGGTCATCCCCACATTACACCTGGGGGGAGGTGGGTCACTTGCACGAGTTCACACGGCCAGTCGAGGGCACCTGGCACTCTATTTCAGGCCCTTCTGAAGCCAGAGATCCAGCTCCAGAGCAGCACATTGTACTACCTGTGTCCTGACAACTCCTTTAGTCAGGACCCATGACAACATGCCACTGAACATTCCCAGAAGAATCAGGTGGGTAAACATTTAGCTTCATTTTTTTCAACAGACACCATTCTCTTCCTTTCTTAGTCCGTTCAGGCTGCTACAGTAAAATTCCACAGACTGAAATGGGTGGCTTATGAACAACAGACAATCGCTTCTCACAGTTCTGTCATCTGGGAAGTTCAAAGTCAAGGTGCTGGCAGATGGCAGATTCAGTGTCTGGTGACAGCCTGATTCCTGGTTCATAGATGGCATCTTTCTACTGTGTCCACACATCATATAAAGGATGAGGAAGTCCCTAGGGCCTCTTTTATAAGAGCACTAATCCTATTCACAGAGTCTTCACCCTCATGACCTAATCACTTCCCAAATGTCCCCCCTCCTAATACCTCCAACTCGGGAGTTCAAATTCAACATATAAATTTAGGGGAAATACAAACATTGAGACAACAACACTTCCAACTTCCTATTTCTTTCTCAGAATGCCAATATCAAAAAAAGAAACCATGACATTGGAGCAAATCACAGCCAATCCTACCACAATTCCTGTATGTTGCAGTTTGGGTGCTTCAGTGCTTCACATAAAGATACCATCCCATTATCTTCCAGGAAATTTGACCCCAGATCGAGGAGAGTCAGAGATTTGTTGCACAAAAGAGCTTGGGAGATGTAGTCACAGGAAACAGAGGTGAGACCACAGTGCATTAACCTGCAAAGACACACACAGTTGATCTGTCAGCACACTTAAGATTTATATGGTAATATTCTCATAACACCAAATGCAAAACCTTTCTAGTGGTTCTTTGCACTCTGCCATCACTTGAGAAAACAGAAGAATTAAATCTTACAGCAGCTGCAGAAATACAAAAAAAAATGTGGAATACACCGCCCCCCAAAACAGAACATCAGATTCTAGTTCCAAGTCAGATCACTACTGGCTGTATGTCCTCAGACAAAAGCACCCATTCTTTGCACAGAATGTACTTCTGGTTTAATGAAACGTCTTGGATGGGATCCTACGTAAAATAATTTTTAAATTTTTTTGTTTTTTATTTATCGTACATCTTTAAGGTTTTGCTAAAAGAGTAGGTTTTAGGTACTCTTGCCACACTCACAAAAAAGGTAACTATGTGAAGTGATGAATATGTTAATTAGCTTGATTGTGGCAATCATTTAACAATGTATATGTGTATCAAACATGTAGTACACCTTAAACATATACAATTTTTGTCGATTATACCTCAATAAAACCAGGAAAATAAATAAGAAATCAAGTGGGAATTTCAAGAAGAGAAAACATTACTTAAAAATTAATTTTGTGATAATGAGTCTTTTGTACTCAGTGCTAGAAATTTGGGAAGTAATGGAGAAAGTATAAGATACAAGTCACAACCGGGTAGCTAATGGCTGAATATAAAACCCTGGTTATTGTTTGTTGTACTGACAAGGTTTAATTTTTTTTTTTTAATTAGTAGTCAACATTTAACATCCAAAAGAATTCACCTAGAATAAGAAAAGACAGACACATGGAACCCTGCCCCAGATGATCACATGGCAAAGACAGGTGGAAGAGAATTGCAACTTCTCCCTTGGATGGGGCAGGCCCTGTCCTAACCTCTACCACCATCCAGCCCAGTCACTCATCCACGTTATCTCAGGATCTGAGAGTTTGATCTCTGTCTGGCAAAAAGAAAACACCAGTACTTGATGAGCAAACAGTACTCATTTTTGGTGGATTTTTCTTTCCAGTCTTCTCATTTTTAAGATCAAACAATAGACACATAATTCAAATCTTTTTCAATTAAATAAGCATTTTCCAGTATTTTGAAAATATGCACATCATAGTCTTCAATGGCTACACTACTTAATGATTATACACTCCCTGAATATCTCCACGTTTTCTTTACACTTTTGGCCATTTTGCAGAATCCTGGTGGAGTACATTATAAAATTTTGTGGATTTGTTAAAAATGGTATTATTTTGTTGAATATTTTTATCTTCTTAAAGTAATAGTAACTTTTTTCATCTTTAGTAGGCTTTTATCTTTGTGGAACAAAGATTCAAGTATAAAAAAACAGAATGCTAAATGATGTATTTTTAAAAGCCCTTTAAATAAATGTAGCCCATTTTAATTACCAGGCATTGAGTGTACTTTAGTTCTATTTACTGTGTAATATCAGTCAGTTATTTAATAGCCAAATCTTTTTGTCTTCTAATATTTCCTTACTACCTTTGATGGTATATTATTTTGATTTTTATAGTTTAGAGTTTTTTTTTCCCTTTTAATAGTTTAGTTTGAATGTTTAATGTTCCTGGAATTTATTTTACTATTAGCTTTCTTTTACAATCTAAACAGTCATCTCAGTAATAGTTAATATTTTAGCCTTCTACTATATATATGTGTGTATGTGTATATACATATATATAAATTTCAAAAAGTTCATGGTAATATTTGTATTATCTTTTAATTCTATTTTCCCACAAATTTCTTGAAACATCCTTGTGTGTGTGTATGTATACAAACTCCTTTTTAAAAATTATGTATACTCTCCCCTACCCCAGCAGCCAGTATACCTACAGGAACATCATCCCTGTTTATGATAAAGATTTACTGAGCTCCAAATTAGATTCAAGGCATCTAAAGGCTAGTCTTGCATCTCAACCTTATGGTATTTTTATGTTTGAATTAGCTCCATTTCATCGTTGAGGAAACTGGGACATTAAGAAGTAACTCAAGCCTAACTACTGATTCTATGATCTGCCTCCTCCCTCAATGAGCATTTGTTTGCTGTGATAATGGATGGATTCATGTGCACACTTCTGAAATCTCCCCCTGAACATGCTTCCCCCAGACCAACTTACATCAGTGTCTCTAGGGCACAGTTTGGGTGCTTCAGGGCTTCACACAACACCATCGCTCCCTCGTTCTTCACAGGATTTTCTACCAAAGAGAGACGCTTCAACTTGTTGTTGTGTATGAGGACAGAGGCAATATTCTTACAAGCTTCATGTGTGATGTTACACTTTCCCAACCTACATGTGAAACACACATTGTGGGATGTGACCAAAGACTTTAGATGGCTTACCCAGGATCAGCCATGGCCCAAAAGATACCCATGCTTCTAATCTTGCAACTGCAAATCCATTGTCTACATTCCAGATTTTATAAAAGTGCAAATGTAATTACATGACTCTCCTCATTAATGCATTAAGGCTTTCCACTGAAGTTAGAAACTCTAAGGCAAAGGTTCTTAACAAGGGGTGATTTTTGACTTCCTGGAGACACTTGGAAATGTCTGAAGATATTGTTGGCTGTCACAGCTAGTGAGACGGGTGCTACTGGCATCTAGTGGTAGAGACTAGGGATGCTGCTCAACATCCTACAATGCACAGGATAGACACTCATACAAAAGGATTATCTGGAACTCAATAATCTAATTATTTATTTGTCAATAGAACTGTAAAAGATAAGAAAAACAAAACTACTTTCCCTAATCTCACACACTCAATACAACACTTTTCTGTAACCAGTTTTCTCTTACACATCAAGCACTTCTCTGGAGGATACCAACTGGGTATTCTACAATTTAACTTAATCCTCACACTAGCTAGAGTTAGAGTCAGGTCCTGCAGTTTAAGAGTTTAGTACCATAAGAATGCCCTCCTCCTTAGATGCCAGTTGCAAGCCCTAGGTTGTTTTACCTGTGCTTCTGACTGTCTACAAATTGGGGGTTCCCACAATCCCCTCCTTGGATTTGATTAACTGCTAGAACAGATCACAGGCCTCAGGGAAACACATTTACCAGTCCATTAATATAAGGTTATTTATATTATAAAGAGTACAGATGAACAGCCAGATGAAGAGATACATAGGGTGAAGTCTAGAAGGATACCAAGTGCAAAAGCTTCTGTCCCTTCATGGAGTTGGGGTGCACTGTGTGGATGTGTTTGCCAATCTGAAAGCTCTCTGAGCTTTGTACTTTACGAATTTTTGTGAAGGCTTTATCACATAAGTATAATCAATTATTAACTTCATTTCCAGCTGCTCTCCCCTACCTGAGAGTGGGGGGTGGGGCTGAAAGTTCCAAGCTTTTAATCATGGCTTGGTTCTTCTGGTGACCAGTCCCCATCCAAAAGCCCAACAGTCATATCATTAAAACAAAAAATGCTTCTATCACCCAGGAGATTCCAAGGGATTTAGGAGCTTTGTGTTAGAAACTAGGGCCAAAGACCAAATATTAGAAAAAAGTTTCTCCTAACACTGCTATTGTTCAGTAAATTACTAGAGCTTAAAAGCTCTGTGCCAGGAACCAGAGCCAAAGACTAAAATATATATAGTTGATCCCCTGTATACGCATAAGATTGATTCCAGGACATCTTGTAGATACCAAAATTAGTGGGTGCTCAAGTCTCACAGGTGGTCCTGTAGAACCCACAGACATAAAAAGTTGGCTCTGAATATACTCGGATTTTGCATCCCACAAATACATGATATTTTAAATCTGTGGTTAGTTAAATCTTTAAAATTTTAATCATTTTGTTCATCATACATGTTTATGGGGTACAGTTTGTTGTTTCAATAAATGCATATATTGTATAATGATAAAATCAGAATAGCTAGCATATCTATCACCTAAACGTTTATCATTTCTTTGTGGTTATAATTTTCAAGATCCTCTATTCTGGCTATCTGGAAATACACAATATTATTAGCTATTGTCACCCTAAGGCAACAGAACTTATTTTTCCTTATGTAACTGTAAATTTGTAACTTTGTACTGGTCTACCAAACTTTCCCTGCCTCTGGTAACCACTATTATACTCTATTTTTCTTTTTTCCTCTTTTTGATTATTCATGAAAGCCAAGAGTTGGAACCAACCTAAATGTCCTTCAATGAATGATTGGATAAAGAAAATGTGGTACATATACACAATGGAATATTACTCAGCCATAAAAAAGGATGAAATTCTGCCATTTGTAGCAACATGGATAAGATTGGAGAAAATTATGTTAAGTGAAATAAGTCAGGTGCAGAGAGAGAAATGCTGCATGTTCTCATTCATATGTAGAGGCTAAAAAAGTTGATCTCATAGAAGAAGAGAGTAGAATAGTGGTTACTAAAAACTGGTAGGGGGAAGGCATGTGGATGGGATGTGGATACAAAATAGTAGAGAGATAAGAAGAATGGGATCTAGGATTCTATAGTAATATAGTGAGATTAGAGTTAACAACAAAGGTATTCATGTATCTTTGAATAGCTAGCCAAATGATGTTGAATGTTCCTAATGCAAAGAAGGGACAAATGCTTGAGGTGATGGGTACACTAAGCATCCTGATATGATCGTTGCACACAGTGGGTATACGGTACCCAAATACCATATTGTGCTCCATAAATACATATAATTATCATGGGTCAACTAAGAAAAATACTTCCACTACTATGTTGAATAGAAATGGTGAGAGTGGGCATACTTCTCTTGTTCCTGTTCTTAAGGGAAAAGCTTTCAGTTTTTCCCCATTCAGGATGATGTTGACAATGGGTGTGTCATATATGGCTTTTACTGTGTTGAGATATTTTCCTTCTATACCTAATTTATTGCAGGATTTTATCAGGAAGGGATGCTGAATTTTGTCAAATGCTTTTTCTGCATCTACTGAGATAATCATATGAGTTTTGTCCTTGGTTTTGTTGATGTGGTGTATCACATTTATTGATTTCCCTATGTTGAACCATCCTTGCACCCCTGGGATAAATTCTGCTTGATCATGGTGTATAATCTTTTTCATGTGCTGTTGTATTCTATTTGCTAATGTCTTGTTTAGGTTTTTTGCATCTGTGTCATCAAGGATATGGGCCTGTAGCTTTCTTTTTTTTGCTGTGTCTTTGGTTTTGGTATCAGGGTAATGTTGGCCTCATAGAATGAATTTGGAAGAATGGCCTCTGTGTCAATTTTTTGGAATAGTTTGAGGAGGATTGGTGTTAATTCTTTAAAGCTTTGGTAGAATTCAGCTGTGAAGCCGTCTGGTCCTGGGCTTTTCTTTGTTTGGAGACTGCTGATTACTGCTTCAATCACATTGCTTGTTATCAGTCTGTTCAGGTTTTATATTTCTTCTTGGATCAGTCTTGGTAGTTTGCATCCAGAAATTTATCCATTTCCTTCAAGTTCTCAAATTTGTTGGCATATAGTTATTCATGATAGTCTCTAATGATTCTTTGTATTTCTACGGTATCAGTTGTAATGTCACCTTTTTCATTTGAGTTTTGTTATTTGGGTCTTCTTTATTTATTTTTTTTCTTTTTAGGTAGTCTGTCTTTTGTTTATCTTCAAAAAACCTAATTTTTTATTTTATTGATTTTTTGTGTCATTCTCTTGGTCTCTATTGCATTTATTTCTGCTCTGATCTTAATTATTTCTTTCTGTCTACTAGGTTTGGGATTAGATTGTTCTTGTTTTTCTAGTTCTTTGAGATTTAATGTTAGGTTGTTTATTTGAAGTCTTTCTATTCTTATGATATAAGCACCTATTGCAATAAACTATTAGTACTGCTTTTGCAGTATCCCATAGGTTTTGGTAAGTTGTACTTGTATTTTCATTCATTTCAAGGAATTTATTGAATTCCTGCTTTATTTTTTCTTAACTCACTGGTTGTTCAGGATCATGTTAATTTCCATGAATGTGTACAGTTTCCATAGTTTAATTTGTTGTTAATTTCTAATTTTATTCCATTGTGGTTTGAAAATATACTTGATATCATTTCAATCTTTTAAAATTTGTTGAGGCTTAATTTGTGTCCTACCATGTGGTCTATCCTGGAGAATGATCTGTGTCCTGATTTGAAGAATGTACATCCTCTTGCTGTTGAGTGAAATGTTCTGTATATGTCTGTCAAGTCCATTTGGTATAAGGTGTTGTTTATATGTCAAGTCCATTTGGTCTAAGAAATCCAATATTTCTCTGCTGGTTCCTTGTCTGGATGATCTGTCCAATGCTAAGAGCAGCATGTTGAAGTCCTCAATTATTACCATATTTTGGTCAAAAAGACTGAGAATAAAAAATGCTGGCAAGGATGTGGAGAAATGAGAACTCTTCTACACTGTTGGTAGGACTGTAAATTAGTACAGCCATTATGGAAAATAGTACAGAGCTTTCTCAAACAACTGTAGACAGAACTACTATACGATCCAGCAATCCCACTTCTGGGTATATGTCCAAAAGAATGGAAGTCATCATGTCAAAGGGATAGTTACACTCCCATGTTCATCACAGCTCTATTTACAATAGCCAAGATATGGAACCAACCTAAATGTCCATCAGTGGATGACTAGATAAGGAAAATGTGATATATATACACAATGGGATAGCACTCATTCATACAAAAGAATGAAATTCTGTCATTTTCACCAACATGGATGAGCTTGGAGAAAATTATGTTAAGTGAAATAGGCCAGACACAGAAAGAGAAATGCCACATGTCTTCAGTCGTAAGCAGGAGACACAATACAAGGAAAGAAAGACCATAATAAAATGTTGAACTTTCAGAAGGAGAGAACAGACCTATAGTTACTAGCAGTGGAAAGGGTGGAGGGACAGGGAATAATCGGGTAAGGGACACAAAATGTAATTATGATTTGTAATGATGAACATAATAATGATTTGATCATCACATACTGTACATAAATACTGACAGTCAACTCTGTACCCCATAAAATATGTATAAATAAAAATTTAAGAAATACATTAAAAAGAAAAATAGTTAAGTCTTTGAATGCAGAACCAGTGTATAAGTGGACCTGCGTAGTTTGAATCCATTTTGTTCAAGGATCAACTGTATTTCTTATTACAAGTCACAGTATCACAAGTGTCAAGATTGATAAACCCTGGTCTGATCCTTTATGTAGATTAAAAGTGACAGGTAATCAGGCCCCTGACAATTCATTCAAATCAGTCTCACTCCATGTCTAAATAGCCTACTTACATTGCTGCCTTCCAGTTATTTTTCTCCATCCTTCCCAAAGTTTGATACATATGAA